ACACACACACACACACACACACACACACACATTACGATTCACATGCTAATGAACTGGCGGCATCTTCTTAAACACATCTTCTCTAACAAACACTTACTTATCAAACGTGCGTTTTCCCAGCAGGCCAAGCGCCCTGGCAGCCTTACTGGGTTCAGGTTTAGGTTTCGGAGCGGGGGTGGTGGCAGCAGGTGTTTTGGTGTCAGCTGGTTCCTCTGTGGATTCTTTAGTGTCACTTGGAGTCGACTCGGTGGGTGGAACTGAAATCAATGCTTTAATCTGAGAAAAACATAATTAATAAAAACATAATAATAAATAATAATTAATATGATTTATACTGAAAGCTTTAAACCTGGTCGGTACTGACCCACTCAGGCTGGTCGGGCGGAGGGTTGGGCATCTGTTCCTCCAGGATCGTCTGGAGATGCAGAGAGAAAATAGTTACTGAACGAAACATGACCAGATATTTCTCCTCTAAACGTCACTGACAAAGAATAATTTCATCGTTTGTAGAAAGTTACATTCACAAATAAAAACATGTGTTCACTCGTAAACATGAATCTGGACTGATTCTGAATGTTGAATCTAAATCAGACGGGAGGATCAATGGGGCCCACCTCTCCTGCCCAGCCGGGAGGAGGGAAGGCCGGGAACGCGTAAGGAGGGACGCATCCTGGAGGAGGCACCGGAGGAACGGCCACCGGGGCGTAGGCTGCAGGGTCCGGGGGAGGCATCGCTACGGGGGGTGGGAGAGGCATGCCAGGAGGAGGTACAGCCTCAGGTCCCCACGGCTCAGGAGGACCTTCGGGACCCCAGCCCGGGTGTCCCCAGCCGGGAGGGGGAGGCCGGTCAGGTCCCCAGTCTTCGGGGTGTAAATGTCTCCAGTCTTCGGGGTGTAAACGTCTCCAGTCTTCGGGGTGTAAACGTCTCCAGTCTTCTGGAGGAGGCAACCAGTCGTCGGGATGAGGCCCCCATCCGTGTGGTGGTCCTCTTGGTCCCCAGTCAGGATGGGGGGGCCCTCTCAGATCCCAGTCAGGTGGCGGTGGACCCCATCCGCCCGGGGGCGGAGGTCCCCACTCATCTGGCGGCCGAGGCCATCCCTCAGGCGGCGGTGGGCCCCAGCCTCCATGCGGAGGGGGCTCCCATCCTCCCGGCGGAGGAGGGCCCCAGCCAGGTGGACCCATGTCGAACGGAGGCCCGTCTTCGCCCGGGGGTCCTATCGGAGGTCTCTTATCCCGACCCATCCCCACAAAGCGGCTCCGTGAGCTAACAGGGGCTAAGGAGACCAACGAGCCCGGTTCAGAGTCAAACTCATCGGTTAACTCGACTCCGACGTTTCCTTCAGTGATTTAACTTCACACAAACTCCGTTCACTCAAATAAACGTCAACATTTAAAACTGAAAATTAACTATTTTGCCCCCAAACACAAACACGCCAGCCTGTCGCTGATCTACTTCCTGTTTCCGGTTTCAAACGAAGTTTGGAGCATCTGCCGCCTCCATCAGGCAGGAGGACCAAACTACAGCGTCGTGCTGCTGACAGTTCGTTCAGGATCAGATGATCCAGAGGTTTGAGGCCACGTTGTATAAAATGAACACAGTCAAACATCAGATAAACTTCAGAGATCAATGTGTCCATTTAGAAGAACATGTGTAACCGTTTGTATTTATTATAAAGTTCAAAGGTCACAAACAACAACCTGAGGAGCGAGAAAAAACAAAACAAGCAAAGAAAGGACCAAAAAAAGATCATTCTATCAAAGGGAAAAAGAGTTCACACACACACAGTGTATACATGGCTTCATTAATACAAAGTTGGAAAATCCAATGAATATTTGAGTAAACAATGTGTTTATATTGTTGACCTCTCACTGCAGATTTCACCTTAACTCAAAGGTTCACAAATAGAATTCTGTTCTTTGTTCCTGTTCACGTTCTCCTCACCTGTGTCTCAGTTCAGTGGCTGAACCCTTTGGAAGCTGCATTTGAAGACAGATTGAGACTGCCAGGAGAAAACTGATATTTCAGAGTGATGGTTTAACAAAGAGTTTCATGTCGAACTGTGAGTCACTCAGTTTAAAATAAAGGAACCATTCTTCACAGATATATTTGTTAATAATTGTTACCAGCTTCCATTTTTCTACATTTGTAAGTAAAGGTCTGTTAAAGATGTTTCTGTCTTTTTAGCTCGTTCTTATCTCACTGATGTTTGTTCAAGTGTTTCTGATCAGTTTGGTTTGATGATATAAAAACAGACTGAGAGGTCATGATTGACGGCTGACACTGACTCAGGAATGGTCAAGTGTCTGGATCTGCAGGACCACTCCATGATCACTACTGCTGATTGAATCTGATTAATCAAAATGTTTGCCTTACCTAATTTTCTCTGTCGTCCATGTGAAGTGAAAGTGAAGCGGCAGGAAGAGAAAGACAGACGCCTAATGATCAATGAGCTTGTCCTCAGATGGAGACAGAGGTTCAACAGTGACTGATGAAAGAGTCACTGCGATACAGAATAACTAGTTACTGTCATCAACGCCAACACGTCCACTCGCTCACTGTAAAGTATCCAGACATTTTCTCACATGGACTCCCATTTTACTAGGAGGCTGCAGGAAAAGTTCCAGAAAATGTCCAGACACTGACTCAGACACTGTTCTTACATACAGAACCTCCAGAAAATGTCAGGAAATTGTGGGTTCAGTTGTGTTTCTGTTCAGTGAGTACTACAACGTCAGAGCTCAATACATTGATGCGTTTTTTTCTACTCATAAAAAACCAAATCATCGCTCAGACGCGGAGCCCAAAATAATTAATCACCACGTGTGGCTGCAGAGGGCACTGTTGCTCAGTAATAGTTCCATAGTGTTGTTTAAAGATTCTGTGTTTTGAATATAAGATGCTTTCCTTTTAAAGTGAAAGTGTCACAGGATTACAATAATTATCAATGAAGAACAACACAGTTCATGTGTCAGAACTTTAATTTGATATAACTGAATTATAACAGACACATTAGTGTCGACATTAATGCAGCATTTCATTAATGTAAAGGTAATTTTATTAATGACTTTATTTACAGGATGAGGTTAAACGGATTTACTGCCACAGACACAACACAATCCTCACACAGTTTCTTCAATTATCTCAAAACAAGAAAAAGTGAGAAACTTTCAACTTTTTATTTATCTTCTCTTGCAAGATCCAGAGACTTTAATAAAATATGGAGATGGGGGGGGGGTTAAACACAAACACAGATGTATATCCCAGCCCCTCTTTGAAATCTGTGACTAAAAGGAGTTTCCTGTTGAAACTGGTTGATTATCTGTCTGTAGTTTTCTTCAGTCGACTGTTCGCCACCGTTTGATTTCACTTTTCAAACGAGCTCGAGTTCAGAATTATCCAAACCATCAAAAATCAATGAACTCAAAGCAACAAACCTGGGAGTTTCTAAAGTAAAAATGTGGTGTACAGTCATATTCTGGGTCTATTTCTTCTTTTTCTTGCTCTTCTTCCCTCCCTCTCCCTGCTGAGAGCTGCTCTCTCCTCCACCACTCTTCTGGGTCCGAGTCTTTAATTTAGGGATCATCTCCGCAACGTAAAACATCACATCTTTACCTGAGGAAATAAAACATTTTTTTCTTAAATTTCAACAATACATTTTCTGTCCAGCTCAGTTCCTCAAATCTGACAGGTTCCTCTTCCCAAATTAAACAGTTATTGATCTTTCAGACTCAACAACAACAGGAACATGTGGGGGACATTCAGGTGAGGGGTGGAGCCTGTAGAGCAGCAGGAGGCGGGACATGACGTCTAAACTCTGCTGTGTAAAGATCAGTGTTGTTGTTTACAGCTCTTCCACACCAGCGTCGGCCCTCATCACCAAAACATCTGGAATCTCCTCGTCTTTCCAAGTGGACTTCTTCATCTTCTATGTGTACGGCTCCAGATGTTCTCCTGCTGTTTTCTCACTCTGACATTTCACTGGTGGTGTTCTCAATGCACGCGCACACACACACACACACACACACACACACACACACACACACACACACGGACACACACACAGACACACACACAGACACACACACGGACACACGGAGACACACAGAGACACACGGAGACACACGGACACACACGGACACACACACGGACTTACGGGAGCTGAATTTGTCCTGACATAGACGGCCATCTTCCTGCTTCAGTTGAACTCTGACACGACCTCTGAACTGGACGTCCCGGTTCCACTCCCGGGGATGCATTTTGTTCTGTAACACACACACGTCATCATACTATCGTATTGTATCATACATGTACTTATTCCTTGACATCGTGTGTGAGGTTTTTACCTCCACGTAGACGTTCATGCCAGCAGCCGTCAGGACGTCTCTGATCTCAGCACAGGACGGGTTCTCCACAGCCTGCAACAAACGACAGCAGCTGCTCTTCATTCACTGAGTGATCACCTCCTTCACTCAGCTGAGTGAAACAAGGCACCATACATTGGTAGATGGCAGGCCTTACTGAACATGTCACTGGGGGATGTCTCTGCTATGTGAAAGGTAAAAATGTGTAAAATGTAAGTCACCTTCTCTGTGGGGATCCTGCGTCCCTCAGCCAGCGTCTTCTTATTGTTGATGTAAACTGGGTAGAGACAGACAAACCTGAAACACGACACAGACACGTTAGAGACAACACTGATGTAGTTCAGAAAGTTCACACCCAGTCGCTGACGGATAAATCCTGCGGAGGATCTCCTGCCATTTTCTCACCTAACCCCCTAACCCCTCCTCTGGACTTTCTGCTGACTTTGTACTCAGGGCTGGAGGCAGAAACTCTGGAGAAAGTCCAGACTCTCTCTCTGACACTTTGGTTCTCCCATACAGCTCCTCCAGAGAATTTCTGGAGGAAGTCTGAAGTTCCATGCAAATCTGAAAGCAGCTTTAATGACACGTTCAGGTGCTGATGACTGAGGTTCAGATGAACCTTTAAATTAATCTGAAGCAACAGAAAAACTTCAGTAGGAAAATATGAATCAACTGATAATTTCATGATGTAAACATGAGACTGAAAACAAAGTTTGCTTCAGGACAACGTGACCCAGAACCGCGGTTTGACATTAAACACATCACGACACAGCTGGAGTACTTGAACACGTCATGCCTAACGACCAGTCTTCGTACGAACACGTAACATCCGCCGAGGTTTCTGTTCAACACGTCGTAAATCGTGACTTAGAAATGGAACTCACAGGAAACAGCTGACAATCTATCAAGAGACGGAAAATTAACTTTACCCACAGCAAGTTAGCTGGTTAGTTAGTTGCTCTCACTACCCATCATTCACTGCCGTTAAGATCCGGTGTTTTCTTGTTGAATTTCACAATATAAATACAAATATAAAAGAACCGAGTTGAAGCAGGTGACAAAAGATAACACAATTGTAACGAGATAATAATTAAAAACCACGTTATATCAACAAACAAACAAGTTGTCCTTAAATTCAGAAATGTCTTATAGGAGTTTCGCATTGTTAGCTTAGCCTCACTCGGCTAACAGGCTGGCTCTATACTGGAACTCACCTCAACTTGTCGGCGGGATTCTGTGTTAAATGAGCCATTTAGACCTTTTTATAAATATTTATCTACGCTCTATGATTTAGACTCGTTACAACAATAATAATAAACTAAGTCTCTGTTGCTCCGAGTGAAATACAGGCACCGCGATGCTTCTTCTTCTTCTTCTTCGGATTGTAGCAGATTAGACGCTTCGATGAAGTATTGCTGCCCCCTGCTGTTTGCTATTAAAACCCTTTAACAGTCATATAATAAACAGCTCAGTAAAGTGAGGGAACCTTAATGTCCAGTGTAAAGTTCAACTTCAGATCCATGTGTCCATTTAGAAGAACAAGTGATTGTGAATCAGTTTCTCTGCTTTGGTGCAAAGTCACATCAGGATCAATGAGACAAAAACCTGACGAGCCCCAAACAGTGAATGTTTTTAATGTGGTGTCCACAGACAGCTGCTCTCTCCTGGTCCTTCCTGACTTATTCTAGTTCTGTGTTCTGCTCGGGTCCTCGTCACTACTGGTAGCATGAGGCGCTACCTGCAGCACCATCAGGGTGCACAGGTAGTCCAGCTCCTCCAGGTGGACACATCCATACGTGTGGTTACAAGAAGGTTTGTGTCTCCCAGCACCGTCTCCAGAGCCTGGAGGAGACACCAGGAGACCAGCAGTTACACCAGCTCTGGACAGTAGAAGAGCATCAACCCAGCAGCAGGTATCTGCTCCTTTGTGTGAGGAGGAACAGGAGGAGCACTGCTATACAAAATGACCTCCAGCAGGTGACTGGTGTGTTTCTGAGCAAACTGTCAGAAACAGACTCAATGAGGAGATATGGCATCCTCTAGTGGGACCTGAGTCACAGTCCAGCACTGAGCAGCTCCATTCACCAGAGAACACCAGGACCAGCAGGTCCACCACTGGCGCCTCGTTCTCTTTAAAGATGAGAGCAGGTTCACACTGAGCATGTGACTGGCATGAAAGGATCTGGAGAAGCTGTGGTGAATGTGATGCTGCTGTAACATCATCTACTGAATGCCCCCGTTTGGTGGAGGGTCAGTGATGGTCTGAGGAGGCAGATCCTTGGAAGGTCACACAGACCTCCACTTCACAACCAACGGTTCCCTGATTGCTGTTAGGTACCAGGATGCTCCTCAGAGCAACTGTCAGGCCCTATGCTGGTGCAGGGGACCCTGGGTTCTGTCCACAGACTGTCCAGGAGCTCAGTGATGATCAAGGTCTTGGAGGAGATCCCCCATTACACCATCCTCCAACTCATCAGGAGCATTATGTGGTTGTCAGGAGAACCACCAGGGCACAAGGAGGCCACACCCACTGAATCACATGATGACTTGATGAAATTCACACTGGTTGGATCAGCCTGTTGTTTCAGTTTGTTAATGTGATGTTCAGTGTGGTTTTGAATCCAGCCTCAGTGGGTTGATGGATTTAGTTTCCATTGATCGTTTTGTTCTTAACAAATTATACAATGTTCATCAGTACAGATTTTCTACTTGAATCATTCGTTCATCAACATCTGATGTGTGATTGAACTGTTCTTTTTATGTTTCTGACCAGTGTATTATTCTGAATTAAATCCAGGGGTGAGTATCGAGTCATTCATTAATATTTAAACTTGTTAAATATTTTTACTGGACCACATTTATAATTTTTTTCAGGTGTGAATGTTGTGATGATGCTGTTGTTCCATCCATGTTTTAACTTGACACGTTTAAAACTTCCTCCCTTAATGATATATGGATAAATAAAACGTTTTAAATAATTAAAATAAATGACTGGAGCTTCAATAATAAATTATAAAATATGTATAAACAATAAGTTATAAATGGAAATTCTTATAATAAATGATTGGGACTTTAATTGATGTGGTGGATTTATAAGAGCACTCAGAGTCGAGCTGCAGCGCAGCAGAAAAAGCCTTTATTTTGCTGTAACAAAGAAACAGAAAGAAATTTTCAGACGTCAACCATATGAATATAAGATCCGTCAAAATTACAGCTGAACATCAGATGTCGCTCGACAACAAACCAGAAATATCCCAACAGTCTTTGTTTAACAAATGACAGTCAATAATCAATCGATCAGTTATTGCAGATTCTTTAGACACGTAGAAAACTGTTAGTCACTTTAATTATTTCCTCTCAAAAGAAGATGACCTCCATCGTTAAAAAACAAACCAAAGAACGAGTGATAAAGAACAAAGACGAAGGACGAGGTAACAACAGGTACGAAAAGATAAACAAGAGGACACCCTGACTCTGGATTAATTAATCCCTTCTTTTTTAAAACATTTCCTTCTGATCACAAACCAGAAAAGATTCAGAACCAAGAGCGAGCCGATGAGGATTACAAGGGACGAGAAAAACTGTTCTGTGATTTAAGTCAGGATCATAAAAACCTTAATTTTAAATTAAACTCGAAATTTTTTGAGAAAACTGGTTTCAGACTCTTCAGTCTGAACTGGTTCAAATTGGTTTTCAAAAAAAGCCAATTCTTGATGTAAAAATTATCGTTGAACTTATCATTTAATAAAAAAACTTAAAGGTGAAAGTCAGAACGTGTTTCAGCCTTGTGACCCTCGTCGTCTCGTGCTCTGACGTGACAACATCACAAGTGAAAAACAGCAAGTGGAGAAGCAGTGCAGCTGTGTTCGGGGCGGGCTTTCCATCGTCTTCAGGTGGTGGTGGTGAAGATGGGGCGGGGCTGTGGTGGGGCCTGACACATCCTCCATCTTCCTTCGACTCTGGAGTTTATTTAATTCTTTTATTTATTTATTTTTACTTCCCTTCATTTCAGTCGAAGGGGCTGAAGTCCCGTTCTAGATTCTCAGACTCGTCGTCATCAGAGAAGAAGTCGTCCTCATCTATGTCGTCCTCGTCGTAGTCCTCGTGCCACTCGGGGACGAATTCCTCATCGTACTCGTCATCCTCGTCCTCCACCTCCTCGCCCCCCTCCTCTCCTGTATTGTTGTTGTTGGCCGAGTCTACAGAGTCCGAAGCTCGGCCTGACTTAGATCTGAGGAGACGCCACAGATTTAAAATTAATTTTGTAAGTTTCCTTTTTTACAAAGAATGACTTCTGAAGAAACCATGACCAGGAGGACTGAGAATCCTCACGGATACTCACACTTTGTTGGCGTCACCTTGGTTGGACAGGTTGGACGCAAGAGTCGATTCTGGTTCCTGACTGCTCTTCGACTGATAACCCACCCGGAAGTCCTGCAACCACAGACACAGGAAACAGGACAGGTTCAGGAAATAATCTTTTTTAAAGTGGTTTCAGACCTGTTTCAAAACAGGTTTACAACTGTTTTTGACTGATGTTTTCTGAACTGGTTCCAGACTGTATTTAAACTGGTTACCTTGAATGTGATACTGGTTTCAAACTTATTTAAGAAAGAACCGGTTTAAATCCAACATGCTTTAAACTTGTGTCAAACAAGTTTTCAGCCAGACTGGTATGTACACTGTTGCCGGTTGTAAACTGGTTGTAAACTGGCTCCAGCCTGTCACCTGGGTGGAGTGCTGCAGGATGGCGAGCAGACGCTCCTGGATGCGTCGGATAAGTTCCAGTCCGGTGTTCAGGTGTTCTGGTTTCAGCAGCCGAACACACGAGGCCAGGTCGGTGCACTGCAGCAGCGTCTCCTCTGAGAAAACACGGCAGGTTCAGAATCTTTAAGATGATGATGATGATGATGACGATGACGACGACGACGACAATGATAAAGGACAGTCTCACCCAGCAGGATCTGCAGAGCATTGGTGTGAAGGTCCAGAGCCTCCGTCTGTTGCTCCATAACATCCATCTTTTCCGTCTCCTGGTTGTAATAGCTGTAGACGCAGGAGTAAGCGAGTACCTGCAGACCACAGAGCAGGGCACAGTGAACACATCACAGAACCAGCAGCTCCGATGACTACAACCACAACGATGGTTTTACCTTCCGAGCCTGAGCAAGGACTTTACAGGCATCGATGACGAAGGTCAGCGACTTCATCTGCAGAGCTTCATTAATTGACGACACTCTGTTCTCCAAGTTGATCGCAAAGTCCTGAAACAAACAAACAAACGTCAACGCCAATGTTTCACTGATGCAAATCTCTCTATTCTACGAATAAAACCACAGACAACTTCCTGTTCTGAAAATGTTTCTAACACAACGTCACGATTCATCTAAAAAATCTAACCCTCTGTTATGTCCTTGAACCATGTGCCGCTAATCTGTGGTTTGTTGCAAAAGAAGGTGGTCCACAAGATCTAACTTCAGCTAAAAGCTCCTCCTTCAGCCCTCATCCACTCTCCAAGCCAGCAGGCTCCTCAGGAGCAGAGCTTCTCCATTCACTTTTCATTGCCACCATTTCTTTGCTATTGTTGCCCTTGTTTTGTTAATAAACTTCAATTCGTTTTTTTCAACTTTGTTTCTCCTTTGTGTTGCTTCTCTTCGAGCCAGGGTTGAAAGTCATCTGAATAATGAGTCATCTTCCTGTTTCACAATAAGACTTAATATTCTGTAGTGATAGCCTTCTGGCTGTTTCCCAATAAAAGCCCTTCACCCTGTTGGTTGTACCTTGGCCTGATGGTGGAAGGTGCATCTCTCATTGTAATCTTGGAACTTCTTCTCCTGACGTGCTGCTTTACTCACCTGCATTAAAAACATCATCATCATGATGAATCAGTTTAAACTAGAGGTGAGATGTTAAATCATATCATCAGCAGGGCAGAGGTGACATGTTAACATGCAATTCTCTGTTTTGGGTCAAATGTTGAAAATCCCCACATGTGATCATGTTGGACTCACCATGGCAGAGCAGTTGTAGTAATCTTTGTGTGTTGGTTTCCATGGTTTCAGACATCGCCAGCAGAACCCGTAGTTACATTTGGCACATGTCATACTGAGGAGGGAAGAAAAGCTTCATCATCTTGTGTGTGCGCAAAGTGTGTGTGTGTGTGTGTGTGTGTGTGTATACAGTGTCTCTTATTATTCATTATTAATAGAAGAAAATCTGAACAAGCCCAGGTTCCTCTTCAGCTCTGTAGCCAGGCTGACAGAAAGTCACACCTCTACTGACCCATCTATTCCTCTAACCCTGAGAAGCAATGATTTCATGAGCTTCTTCACAAATCAAATTATAACCATCAGGGATCAGATCCACCACCTCCTCCCCATGAAGAGCACAGATACATTGTCTGGTCCTGGAACCATAGAACCAGATTTATGTTTGAACCATTTCTCTTCTATTGACCTTCTGAACTGACCTCATTAGTTTCATCATGTAAACCAACAACTTGTCTTTTAGACTCTGTCCCGACTGGACTTTTTAAGGAAGTGTCCCCATGATTGACAGTTCCATATTAAATCGGATTAACATGTCTTTGTTAACCAGCTACGTACCACAAGCTTTTAAAGTAGCTGCAATTAAACCTCTGATAAAAAGCCTGATCCAGAGGTCTGAGCTCATTACAGACCCATATCAAACCTTCATTTCTGAAATCCTAGAGAAAGCTGTTGCTAACCAGCTGTGTGACGACTCAGATAGAAACGGTTTGTTGGAAAACTTTCATTCAGGATGTAGAATCCATCACAGCTCAGAGACAGCTGTTAAAAGTCACTCATGACCTTTTCATGCCCTCAGATGATGGACTTGTCTCTGTCCTCATCCTGTTGGATCTTAATGCAGCGTTTGACACCATAGATCATAAGATCACTGAGACTAGAACAACATGATGGGATCAGAGGAACATCAGACTGGTTTCARTCATATTTATCAGATAGATTTCAATTTGTTAATGTCAACAATGACCCCCCCCCCATGCACATGCAAGTTAGTCATGGAGTTCCACAAGGTTCTGTCCTTGGACCGATACTCTTCACCTTATATATGCTCCCTTAGGCAACATCATGAGAAAGCTCCACATACACTACCATTGTTACGCAGACGACACCCAGCTGTACATTTCTATGAAGCCTTGGTGTTAGTTTGTCCTCCAGCTCCACTGTGAGGAACCTTGAGTTATGTTCGACCAGGACATTTGACCAACATATAGAACAAGTCTCTTGGACAGCTTTCTTCTACCTGCACATTATCAAGAACATTAGAAACATCCTGTCTCAGAAGGATGCTGAGAAACTAGTCCATGCATTTGTTCCCTCTAGACTCGATTACTGTAACTCTTTATTATCAGGACGTCACAGGAAGTCTGTGAAAAGTCTCCAGTTGGTCCAGAGTGCTGACAGGAACTAGAAGTACAGATCATATTACTCCTGTCTTAGCTTCTCTACATTGGCTCCCTGTAAAATCCAGAATATCAAGATCCTGCTCCTCACATTTAAAACCCTGAACAATCAAACCCTTCATACGTCAAAGAGCTGATAACACCTCATTATCCAGATAGATCACTTCTTTCACAAAACACAGGCTCTCTTGTGGTTCTAGAGTCTGTAAGAGTAGAACAGGAGGTAGAGCATTCAGCTACCAGGCTCCTCTCCTGTGGAACCAGCTCCCACTCTGGGTTCCAGAGTCAGACACCATCTCTACATTTAAAGTTAAACTTAAAACGTTCCTTTTTGATAAAGTCTATAGTTCTGGATCAGGTCCTGAACCATCACTTAGTTATGCTGCTATAGGTCTAGACTGCTGGGGAAACTCCCATCATCCACAGAGCACTTCACTCTGTCTCTCTGCCCCCCCACACCCCACACTCATTTATCTATTTTAATACATGTCAATGCTATTTCACTTTGTACTCCCATAGTCTCTCTCTCTCTCTTTATTTCTCTCTCATTTCAGATATCTCTGACCCCGGAACCTAAGGATAACATAATGAATTACAATATCTCAGTAATTAATTATTATATGAATTGTGCATGTTATCAATAATAATTAATCTTCTTTACACTGTTGTTTACATTTTAACTAGTCAGATCTGATACCTGATGGTGCTCAAGTGTTCCTGTTCTCTCTCGCCTCTCGCTCTCCCCCTCCTCCCCACTATCACTCTTTCTTTATGTAGTGTGTATAGTGTCGGTGTGTATAGTGTCGGTGTGTACAGTGTCTGTAGTGTGTATAGTGTCGGTGTGTACAGTGTCTGTAGTGTGTGTGTGTGTGTGTGTGTGTGTGTGTGTGTGTGTGTGTGTGTAGTGTGTGTGTGTAGTGTGTGTGTAGTGTGTGTGTAGTGTGTACAGTGTGTGTGTGTGCGTACTGCAGACAGCCCTCGTTCTTCTCGATTGGCGCCTGGCAGCTCGGGCAACGTTTGGAGATGAGCTTAGCGAGATGTTTGCTTTGAGCCTCTGAAGTCATCCCTTCATAAAATCCTCCGTCGTCCATCCACTGAGACATGTGACTGCAGCTGGATGGATAATGAGCCTGAGGGTCATAGGTCAGAGGTCATCAAAACCAGCCTCAGCACATTAAACAGTCATGAGACAAAGTCTGACGTTTTGTTGGCGGTGACCTCTGACCTCGGGGAAGTTGCAGCTGAAGCAGGACGACCAGCGGCACTTGGAGCAGGTTCCCATACTGCCCATGTTCTCCGTACATAGAATCTGATCACAGCCCAGAGGATTGGTGCACCATGTCAGGTTTGAACAACACTCCACGTACACCCGCAACATGGCCTTCTCATACTGAGAGAGAAGGAGGAGACGACGAGAGGAAGAGGAGGAGAGTCTGATCAGGTTCTCCTTTACATCAACTTATTGTTTGACTTATTATTGTGAAATCTTCTTCATACAATTTTACTTTGAAACATATTTCACAGACAGGACGTGACATGCTATTTATTTACTCTCCATCTGAAGCCAACAGCTGGATCGCCCCATGGTGTCGGAGGGCAGGACAGGTCATAACCCTGTCTCCTCCATAGCAGTGTCTTAATTCAGCGGCCTCATCCTTCAGAGGACCTTGTCTAAACAGCGGACATCTGCATTTCATTTTTTTGTCTTTTACCCCCCCCACACCTCGCATTTTGCTGCCATTACTGCTTTATATAACCGTTTGTCACTTGAGCGCAGTGACTGATGGGATATATTGGGCCGGGAATGAACTAACCCGCAGTGACACAATTGGTCTTCAAATGCAGACTCTAAAGGATGCAACCCTGAATAGAGACACAGCTACTGTTACTGTATGTTACCTTGGCGACAGTGTCCTTGTCAGTGAGGATGCTGAGGAAGAAATGAGATGTGGGCTGAGCCTGGCAGTCTGTGATTGGACAGTTGCAGTTCATCACCAGGTTCTGTTCGATCCTCGCCGTCAGGTACTCCTGCCAGCATGACTGGAAGACACACACAGACGTTACACAGATGTTACACAAACTCAGGCGTTAAACACACTCTCAGACATTATATAGGGTTAGTGTGTCCCAATACCTGTTGGGATGAAGGGGACGGGCCAAGTGTTGGCCGTACAACCCTCCAAACGGAGATTTTTCAGACCCACATTTCAAACCCAGGGCTATGAGAATTTCCCAGAATGCCGTGCGAATCACTGGCAAGCTGGGAGAGAGACCCACAAATGTAGCATTTTCTCCATTAAAAACAATTTAAAAAATGTATAATAATTGTAACATCTTAGTGTAATATCATTTCAATGTATAATTGAAACAGGAAGCAGTAGCTCAGTCCATAGAGACTTGGCTTGGGAACCGGAGGGTGGCCAGTTCAAGTCCAGCACGGACCTAAGTATGAAAGGTGAACTGGTAGTTGAAGAGGTGCCGGTTCACCTCCTGGGCACTGCGGAGGTGCTCTTGAGCACCAGACCCCCAATTGCTCCCCGGGCACCTTCATGGCTGCCCACTGTTCCGTGTGGTCACTGTGTGTGCTGTGTTCACATGGATGTGTTAAATGCAGAGGTCAAATTTCCCCATGTTGCATGTAGTGCTCAGTGTGCATGATTGTGGGACAATAAAAAGGAATCTTAATCTTAATAATGGTAATTTTTTTCACAACAACCTTGAAAAAAATCGCTAGCATGCATTTTTTTTTGCATGATAGTCCCGTATTTTTGAATTTCTTTGAACATTCACGATGCACTTGATTGAACCAGCATATATAGCAGCGATGTTACTGAACTAAACTGCTGCTTTAGAAACAAAACATCCTGGCAGGGTTTTATACAGACCACTGCTAGCAGTTTGTGCTTTTGATTCATACATGGAATAATCCCGAACATCCAAGCTTTTCAATTTCAAATGTCATTGATTCACTTGCATTAGCAGAGGTGTAGTAACTGCAAACTGCAAACAATAGCATTGGCTTATTTAAGATCTCAAAAAAGTTATCACAATGATGCCCCTGGCAAAACGTTTTGTCGCTTCTGTTTACATCGATGACTACTGATGGTGTAACTTCTTGAAGGGCTGTCCCAATTCGTAATATTTCAACCACTATCCCTTGTGACTCAGTTTCCAGGGGCAAGATAACCCTGATAAACAAGGGGCAGGGAGAAGGGGTGAAATAGGATTGGGCCTAATTGACATAATGCAATCCCTTGCCACTTACCCTACCCATCAACACTAAATGCCTAATCTTAGCCCTAACCTAAACCTAATTTTGACCCTAAAACCATGTCTTAAGCCCCATTAAAAGTGGGTCAGAAAGTGAATACCAGCCCAAATATCCTCACTCTATAGAGTGCAGGCTCAAAATGGTCCTTACAAAGAAATCTGTGCAAGTACACACAACGCGCGCACACACAAGGTGCGCACACACAACGCACGCACACACCGTGCAGCAGTAGTGCATGCAGCTCAGTGAGGGGACTGGCTCCATGGCAGCGTTGCGGGGGCCCAGGCAGACGGGGCAGTTGGAGGAGGGGCTTGGTGGCGGCTGAGGGTTTTGGCACTTGATCCCGGCGGCCATGATGAGGGAGTCTGGGTCGTCGGTGTAGCGCTGCACCAGCAGGTCCACGTTCCACTTACAGTGAACCAGTAGGTGCTCTGCCCAGTCTAGGTCCAGACTCAGAGTCCCAGAAACCTGAAAAGATCGAGACCAGATTATCTGAGAAAACACACCCAGGTCCACAGATTCAGGTTTGTCAGAAAACCAGTGAAACAGGTGAGTCATGAAATCAAACTCACCTGCTGGACCGTCCTCTGCATCAGCTGACAAACTTCCTCCTGCGTCATCGTCCGACCCATCGAGAAGAGAATTGCATCCAGAACGCCATCCTCAAACTGCTGCAGACCTGAAGCCAGGCTGACACACACACACACACACACACACACACACACACACACACACACACACA